TATGGAGTCTCTTGATTGCCTCTGTCAGAAATTGTGTGCTCTCAATTGTGATGTGCAAGGCGGAGGTGCTGGGGTAGAATGCGGAAATTTATATGTGCATTTACAAAAACTGGCCCAAAAGCTCCAGTATCATAACAGGGGTTTCTTATTTTCCAAATCTTCTGTGAGCATGTATTACCTTTATAATGAGTTAAATATTTGTATAAGGTAAACAAGAACAAAATAGTAATACAAAGTACACATAGCACTGGTTGGGACCTGTGCCATCCTCCCAGTGTGGGGGTTACCAGGGCCTTGCCCAGCTGCCTCTACTGTCCCCTACTAGACTAGTCTTTCCCCTAGATGCCCCTGGGGTAGTACCAATGTCTAATACCAGGTTTGTCACTGCTCTGTGCTCCACATTTTGAATATGCAGTATCACTGCACCTTGATTAGGGCTGGGTGAGACAGGAGAAGAAGTTGCAGTTGCTGCCATTTCTAACCTTGGGAGAAGGTTTGTGCATGAAGCAAGACACAGGAGAATGAGCAAGTTTGGGGCCAGAATGAATGGTTGGAGGAAAATACATCTTTCCTGGGGAAACGAGGCAATGAGGAATGCTGCACAACAGAGGGCCTTGTCTGAGCTGGGTCCTGTCTCAGGCGCCTAACCCAGCTGTTGGGCACACAGGAGACTGTGGTGACCCTGAGCGTGGATGGTCCCACACACTGCATGTCTGTCTGCAGCTGCACGGGCCCTGGGGAGCCCTGTGAGAGTAGGCCTGTTTCTGGGCTGCAGGCAGGGAGCCAGGGGCTGCCCTGTTGCCAGAGAGCATTGAGGAGCTTCTATGTGTGCTCTGTATATGTCTCAGCTTTCTTTGGAATTATGGCGGAGTCTGGCCCTGCCTGGTCTTTTTTGTGCCTTGGGTCCTAAGTTAAGAATAAGCGAAGGAACTCTTGTCCCTGTGGACACGCTTGATGTGGAAGTTGCTATCAAATGGCTATTTTATCCTCGGTCGCCACTGACATCACTCCACTTACGGTTCTGAGGTTCTCACTTTACTTGTGGTTGAATAGAGCTATGATCATTGGAGCAGAAAGAAGCCATTCAGATGTGAATCTGTGAAGATGTGTCTAGCAATGTACAGATGTTTTTTGGCAGGTCAATGAATATTTTAAATCTTTTGCAAATAGTAAAAAGTGTTGAATTCGAAATAGAGAGGAGACTATGGCAGGGGAAAATTATACCTCATTTTTCTCTCAATCTTCCATTTTTAAAGTAACCAGACAAAATCTTGGATTCATCATGGCCCTTAAATGTCCTTCATCCTGTTTGAGACGTGATTATGTCCTTAATGTATTGAACCTCTTTCGATAACAAGAATTGTTGGGTAGTAGTAAACATAATAGCAGAATCTCCAGGTTGGATCGCCGTCATTTATTTAAAGCTAAAGACACAGGACTGAAGTTAAAGAAGAAGGTCATCTTCTGGTTTTGAATACATCATGTGTGGTGTGTGATTGCACTCTAGATTTATACACTCCACCATCACCCCAACACGCATACCTCCTGGTAATGCATGGGGGAGTAGGGTGGACTTGATTTAATGCCCTCTGTCACATCCCCTCTTCACCCTTCCTCCAGCCATCACCAGAGATGCCACACACCCCTGTATGTTACAGGTACCGTGCTCAGTGTAGTCCCAGCCACCAACAAGCTAATAACAGTCTAGCAGTGAGACAGTGAAACAGGCCCTGTGCAAAGTGCTGTAGGAACACAGAGAAGAGGAAATCTAGTCCTGCATGAGAGTGTGGGCAAAGGAAAACAAGAGTGAAAAAGTGATTTTGATCTGGACCCTGCAGGCTGATTAGGAGAAAGTTATTACCTAGCAGGGTTGGTGAGATTGGAATGACAAGGCATAGCCCAGTGCCAGGAATATATTGGGGGCTGCATTTCTTTTTCGTCTCCTTCCTGGGATAGAGGCGGGTTGAAAACACAGTGGTACAGTACGGAAGTGTGCCACTACTTCTAGCTGCCTTCTTAGCTACTGTACACCGCCTCTCACAGTCTGGCCTCTGCCTTACTTCCTGCCCTTTTCCCTCCAGCCTGCCGCCATCCTCCTAGCCACTCCTCTGTTCTGCAGCACTGTTAAGCCTCTGGCCATTCTCTGAGCATGCAGCCAGCGCTCCTTTTACTGTGTCCTGGTTACTCCATGTGCACTGCCCTGTTGTGAGGTTCACAGGGGGATGTCTGTGGGCATTTGGAAACAGTGCAGGGGGTAAGGAGGAGCTGGAGGGATGGCCCTGTCAAGAGAGAGCCCAGAGTTGAGGATTGCTCAGTTTTATTTATTATCTGTGTGTTCTCCCAAAGATGGAGGGTTGGTCTGATCTGAACAGTTGTAAGTAGTTCGTTTTTTGTCAAGATCTTGTCCTTTGGCTTCCATGCCTGCAGTTGACCACGCATTTGCAACGTTAATGCATCAGCCTTTTCCACTGGGCTATCTGGGTCACTTCAGTCATGTTTCTCAAACAAAACATCAGCACCACTTCAGCAAGAAGAATAAAAGCTTGGGAAATGCCCTAATGCCCAAAGCCCACAGTTGAATGCATAGACAATTGTTTAAAATATGCATATAACTACATATGCATATCGATATCCTATCTATACACACACATGCACACACACACAGTGGGTGGAGGTGGGAGAAGCCTATCTTCCCTTAGTCTTGGAAACCTAAAACTTGGATCTTCAAAAAATTAAATTTAGAATAAAAATAAATTAGGAAGATGATTGGTCACTTTTTTAAAAAATAATTTTTAAGAAAATACGAGTCTTTGAAATAAAAAGTATCTCTATTTCACTTAAACATTTGTGAATAAACATTTACTTATTCTCAACTTTTCAGAAAGGCAGCCTTAAGATATACATGGTTTTAAAAGCAAATGCCACTCTTTATTCTAGATGGCAATTCTATTTTTCGTCCGTCCTTATCATCTTTGAAACAATGGAGCCACTACCTAAAAATACTTCAGTATCTTTCTTGGAGTCTTCGGAGTTAAAGCTGTGGTGTCCTCCTTTTGGTTTATAGCTGCAGAATGATGGGTGTATATATTGTTTTTGTTAGTTAACTCCATCTGTTTCGTAAGCCTGAAAAAGAAATTGGATGATGCCGTATATACGTATGGATGGATAACACTCCTTATGCAGTAGTGAGTCAGCAGCTTCAAATGGGTTTTCGGTTTTCCTATTGGTACTGGTTACTAAAGTGCTGTAGCTGAAGTGCTCCTTCTTTCAGAATCTGTTGTGAATTGGGTATCCTATGTTGTTGGAATTACACAGTATGCCTAAAAGAAGGGCATTAAGTTTCTTCCCTGCTTTGGAAATGGCAATGATTTTCCAAGTGGTGTTTCTGTGGCTGATGGAAGAATCTCTCACCTTGAAAATGGAAATCTCCTTATTGTGACCTATAAATCAGAGCAACAACTTTTCTGAGCCTCTGCAGAAGTGTTCAAGAATGGAAGGCAAACTTCCACTCTCTGTTATGTTCCCTTTTGTGAAGAGTTCTCATAGTGTTAATTTATTCTTTCCTGATTATAGGGAAGCAAGTTAAATTTTCTGGCAAAGAATTCTCATTTGATACAGCTCAGCAGATCTCCAGTGGGTTAGCTAAAAGAAAAGGCATATCTTGCCTGGTGGTTTTTCTCATAGGACAGGACAGCGTATCTCAGAACCCAGGAAGAGATGGGATGCTATGGGTTGCTAAGGCTCGAGCTGCAGTGGCATGCTGATTAGCACATTCTCTCTCACCTCCATGGTGGTTCTCTTGCTTGTCTGCAGTGAGTTCATGATTTGAATGCCCATCTGCAGAAAACAATATATGAGTTTCAGATTCTCTTCCCCATGGTCATTGTTTCTTTCCTTCATTGTGAGTCATCTTTCATTAAACAAAACAAAGATGTTACTGTTAATTATACATCTTTTCAAGCAGTGCAAAAATTCTTGTGTGTATGTGGTGGGGGGTGGTGGTTTTGATGGGAATAGTAATTTATAATGGGGGTGTTTTAAATTGTCGATCAGGAAGATACTAAGAGTCACACTGAAAAGCTTAAGAGTCTCTACTAAGATAGCAAAAATTGTTTCTGCCTTTTTTTCGTATTTCATAAAGCTCTTACTTTCTGCCCTAACATATTGTTGTAAACATATTTCCATTCAACTATTTTTATTGTTCTCTTTTATATACCTTATTAAAACTGCAGCTTTATTCAGCTGAAATTGCAAATAATAGATGAAGTACCATAATATTGGCCGTTTGTAGGCAGAGTATGTGAGCAAACTGGAAAGCTGCCATCCTGCTCCTGGCACTGTAAAGATTAATGTGAAGCATGCATGGGTGTCATCAGAACCAGCACTCAGCCTTGCCAGGGGCTTGGCACAAGGTTCTAAGGTAATCCTGGAGGTGAAGTTCCATGGACAAGTTAGTGCAGGTTGGTGGGTTGGCAAACCTCCTGCTGAGGGGAACCCCAGCTGATGGGAACCAGGGGCCAACCCCAAAAGGCTTTTTTGACAGTGAGGCCCACCCACGGTCGGATAGGAAGTACGAAAGGTATGGGCTGGGTGCTGGGGGTATTTTAATACAAGAGGTAAATTGAGTAAGCCCTTGGAAGACTCAGTTTTGTGCCCCAACCATGGATGGCTTGTAGAGACTCTGAAAAAGGGAAGTGTGTGTTTGTGTGTGTGTGTGTGTGTGTGTACACAAGGTCACCATCCTTATCTTTCTTGGTTCTAGAAAGTTAAAATCACATGATGGCTTCTTTTGGTGGTACAAGACCAGGTCTTTGCAGTTTCAGGCAGGTGTTTGTGGCAACTGTGACTTAGCAATTGTGTGAATGAGAAAAAAATTTGTGGCCAAATTGATTGTCTGCAACAAATGGAAATTCTATGGTGGTGCTTTGTGGGTGGTTTGTAGGCAGAGAGTACTTGGTTCCCTTTTGATGTCTCACTTTTTTTTTCTTCTTCTTCTACAGTTTTTTCGAAGAAGCAGGATGCTGATCTAGACGTGGAAAAAGTAAGTTGGCAAGTTTTGCACTGAGAGCATGTGCCTTGTGAATTGGAAAGGGCTTCCTGTTGGAACCCAGGATGAAGTCTACTTTCAGTGTGGGATTATAATTCTGAGTCCATAGATTTCTAAGACAGAGATTGAATTGGAGATGGAACTGGTATGTGAAATAGAAAGAAAATCTTACCTTCCTTAGCGGACCCACTATTTTCTGCCTTCCCTTAGTTGTGACACTCAATTCTGGTAATTTATGGGAACATATGTTTTGACTATAAGTTATGGCTCTCACCTCAGAAATAGAATGGAACAGCTGTCCCATGGGTGAGTAGCCTTCGTGCTGGGGGGGAATGGGGAGCACCTGTCCTCAGGCTGGTCAAGGAGGTCAGTCCATTCATTGTTTTTCCTCCACTTTCAGATGGCTGCTGCTCACCTCTGCCTGAGTGGCATCTTTGATTGCAGCCACTATGTAGCAGGTCATTCTTTCATTAACTTAACGTTTTTTGGTTCCCACTGGGTATTAGACATCATGCTGGACTCTGCTGAGACAAAAGTGAATGTGACTAACTAGTACTCAGGTAATTGTGGTACAACCTGAGAGAGCTGTGCAGAAGGGGCTTGGAAGCTCTGACTGAGGGCTGAGCTATCCAGAAAAACTCTGAGATGGAGAGGGTGTGAGAAGGAGCTGTGAATGCATTCTTTCTCTGAATGTTTGCCAAGCCTTCTCTGCCTGTACTTCTCTCTATCTCCCAGGCACCCCAGTGAAAGGCTGGACCTTGCAGCTCTCGCTAGCCACCCGGGCTTCCTTTTCAGCCCCCACTACTCTGCCCAACCACATTGCCTTGGGTGTAACTTTTCAGCTATTCTGAGTTATGTTCCTCAGTTCGCTGGCCACTTTGGGGCTGCCCCTCATCATCTCAGAATGACTTGGGGTTATTTCTCTTCTTGATTTGAGTGCAAAAGAGGCTTTTCTTCCTGAACTAGAGCCATTCTGAAAGCAGCCAGTTTGTAAGTTAGGGAAGTATACTACCTGAAACATTGTTCCAGAACAATGATGAGTAACTCCTGACCTTTGACCCCATGCAGGCACCTAGCTTCTGCAGGATGGCCTGTGATCTGCTAGTCATGGGCTTTTCAGTTCATACAAACCAGGGGAACTTGGGAAAATAAAGCAGCTCTAGTGAGGACAAGGCAGAAGGAGCCTTTTTAGAATCCTCATGCACTCAGGTTTTGGCTGTGGAAGCCAGGGATTGGCAAAGTCTGTCTGCCATTGGAGGTCAGTACACGGTGACCCTTCTGGACTAGGCCAGGTCCACAACAGGCAAGAGCCTGTGGGTGCCAGGAGCCCCCTCAGGGCAATGTTGTGCAGGGGAGCCCAAAGAAATGCCTGGGGGTTGCCCCAGACTGCAGGACTTGCCCTGCCCTGTCCAACTCAGGCAGTGAATCCTGCAACCACAGGAGGGGGAAGTCCATTCATTTGGGTTCCCTGTCTTGGCCCCATGCCAGGCAAACAGCAGGGCTCAGTCAGTGGGGTGTGGGGGCGCTGAATGGAATGTGTTAAAGTTTGCCTCACTTCTGCTGTTAAATTGCTGTTTGACCTTAGGCAAATCATTTCTCCTCTCCAAGTCTCATTTATCTTATCAGTAAAGCAGTCCCTTTCCCAGGACCAAGTAAAATTTAAAATTACTCATTTTTAAATTTAAAAACACAAACCAAATATGTTTTTTTGTTTGTTTTCTGACTTGGGTCTTGAATTAAAGTAGAAAAAGGGCTGTTGGCCACCAGGCTAAAGAATGCTAGATAAGGCCAGTTATGGATTGGAACTGAAGGAGCAATGAGTGTCTAGCAAAAGAGTGAACATGGGTGACTGACCCCCATGGTGCAGGTGTCTGTAAGTGCTCAGGGAACCCAGAGTAAGAGAAGCTACGCAGGGGTAGAAATGCCGCTTGGACGGAATGAGTCTGAAGGGCTCCGCCCGCACCCTCTCCTCAGTCAAGTGGTTACTGACCTGAGAAACAGTCATTGCCTTAGGGGAGTTTGCTGTTTTAACAGCTCTTTTCTAGAAGTTCCACTTTCAGAACCTTTTCCTGTTGCTGGTAGAACACTGTTGAACATCAGCTTTTCTTTTTGTCTGTGTTTACCTATCCAGAAGAATCTAATATACGATGTGCGTCCATTGTATAAGTAAATGATACCTCTTGGCTAACCCCAGTGGAGAAAAATTACCGAAGTTACAGTATTTGTTCTTCAGATGGATTTTTAAGTTTCTCCTTTTAGTTGAACATTTTTGTAAAGACAGAACTCTATGTGGAAAATGAGCTTTATTTTGACATGTTAAAGCTCAAAGACAAGTTAGCCTTAATTCTGTATTAGTTAGTATCTATGGCTTATTGAACTTCTGCTATGGAGAGTGCTTTATATCATCTCCGTTACACTTCTCCATGACAGCAGTCCTGGGAGGGAGCCATGAGTGGCTCAAGGTACTGTGGTGATAGTAGTTATTCTACTCAGATCTGTCTGGGCCAGAGCTTTCCCCTTCCCACTTTGGAATGTGTATAATTTTTGAGACAATATATTTGTGTCCCTTATTTTTTTAAAGTTTTGTAAATTCTGAGAAAGCGGTGTTTGTTACTTTTTTGAGAGGTCTTCCTTGACACTCCCCTACAGGCTCAGTCTGGATGGGGTTCCCCTATCGCCAGGGCTGCTTCAAAGCTGTCATTGTGGTTGTGTCGTTATCTATGCAATGACTTAATAGCAGTGTTCCCTGTGGAACTGCAGGCTTTGTCAGCCCAGAATTCTTCTCTGTGCCAAGCCTAGTGCCTGGCTCGTAGGAGGCCCTCTTAAAACATTGGGCAGGCATGAATGAGTGGAAACCATGCTTGTTAATAGCATTATGCGGTGATAAGACCATCATTCCTTGACTTTCTCTCCAAAAGTACAAAGTTTCAAGCAGACAGATGAACAGATCATTCTTAAAAATGAAGTAATCTGGGCAGGCAAAGAGAGTTCAAAGATAAAAGAGGGAGAAGCAGTAGTGCACAAGGGAAACATTAAAACAAATGTTTTTTTTTTTCCCTCACAGAATCTTCTAGGATTCTTGAGGGTTGCAGTTCTGAGCTTCGTTTCCAGATACCATTGCTTTAAATGTATAAGGTGTATTTTTAAAACTTGAAACTAATACTCATTTAAAATTTGAAAAATATGTAATCAAGTTATATCAGAACAAAAATGTGCTTTTTGTATAAAAAGCTGATGAAATTGAGTCATCCTATTTAGTGATTTAAAAGGATTTGATGAAAATAATATCTACTTTGGTCGTAACTACTCTCAGAGGGCCGAGGAGAAAGGTTTGGTTTCCATGCATCCTGGATGGCCTTTGTCTGGTGTGATTAAAAGTATTTCAGTGCCTGCCATGAGAGAGGCCCTGCCATTTTTGCAGTTTCAGGGAGACCAGGAATTCCTATAGTGTCATTCCAACTGTTTGCAGGGTTTAGACAGCTGCATTCAGGCCACAAATACAGCCACAAACATATGTCTATTTGATAGACACAGAGGCCTTCCAAAACAAAAATTGTCATTCAAGAAGCAAAACAAAAAGAAAAATTACCTCCTGCCTTAGAATTTTTTCTTTTGCCCCTGAGTGAGTGAATTCTTTGAAATGTGTTGGTCTGTTAAAGTAGAATGTACATGGAAGTTGCTACTTTTTCAGTGTTTCTTTGATTTTAATAAATCCCAAGAGAAATGGTAAAAAATATCTTAGATTCTTATTGTGGGGATAATTGTCTTGTGGGGGAAAAAATCTAATTCTAAGTAATCGAGGGTTAGAAATTTGAGGCTGCATCAGGAATCCAGCTTTGAAGCCATGTTCACATGATTTCTATGCAGCTGGCTAAGAGGTGGGAAAGTTAATTCATACAAGCTTTTTCTTTTGTGGGAAGAATAAGATTTCTGTGGTCAGAGGCCAGCAGTGTTTACATGGGGTATCCAAAGGCTTCACAATGCTGGTTGCTGGAGTGACATGAGGATGTGTCTCTAGTGTGAATAGGGTGATGTTGGCTTTGGGGTGTACCACCCCAATGTGTGTGCTGGTTGCCTTAGGGAGGTAAGGGAGAGAGTGAAGAAGAGAAGGGGAAGAACAGCATAAGCACAACTCCCTGCCATCTGCGGGAGCCATCGCTTCCTGAATGGGCATGGGCAAGTTGCAGGGGCTGGACTCAGGTGCTTGTGGTGTCTCTCAGCCCATGGACACTGGACAGGGCAGCTCCCATGTACAGATGGGAATTGTCCCTCACGTCCTCCCTAATACCTGTACTTCAGGCTGCCAGCCTCAGAAGCTATAGGAAGCCAAAGCGGCTTACATTCTTCATTTACCTTTCTCAGCCTCAGTATATAACTGAGTAAGGATCACGTTTCACACAACTCACATTCTTGGTGACTGCATACCAGGAAAAGGAAATGGCTTTGGCTTGGGGGCAGGGAGAGAAAGAGCAAGAATGCATGCATGGGTGTGTGTGTTTCTGTGTGTGTGTGTGTGTGTGTGTGTGTGTGTGTGCGCGCGTGCGCGTGCATGTATGCACGTGTGTGTGTGTGTGTGTGAGTGTGTTTAGGAGCTAGGGACATGCTTAGAATTCTGTTAGAGACTGAAAGGCAAACATTTTTAGTCTTTGGCCAAAAATAATTGTTATGTATCATTTGTAATAACTGACCAGCTTTCTTTTACATAAATCCCTGGGTTGTAAAACTAAGTGCAGTCTAAGAAGAAAAAGTATGCCCTTTGCCAATTTGAATTTCCAAAAAAAAAAAAAAAAATCCCTCTTCCTAGACATTCTAAATCTAGGAGGATATTGATAACTGATCTAGAATGGCTGCAGATAATAGCATTTTCCTTGTGATTTGAGGAGAATTGGGGGTTCCTTGTTTAGTCCTGGATATAGAACAGTTCATTCACTCCTTAAACATTGGTAGACCAATCACAGTTTTAGGCCCCGTGTTATCTTATTCCGTTGCCCCAT